TGTAGATGCATAAACACAGGATTTTCTTTTTATGTTTCCCAAAACTTAAAAGAAGAAATCTGCTCATTTACCAGTGGGAAGTGTATCTCTGTCCTCTACTATTTAGAAATAGATTGAAATGTTGGTCAGCTTTTCAGGTCCTTTTTTTTGTTGAGCAGAAATCCAGTGTGCTAGATTTTGCTTGTTTCACAATTTCCTTTATCTAAGTAAAGGATCAACAGCAAAATCTTAGTGGTGTTGCTACATGACACATTATTCAAATACTAAATTCCAGTTATCAGTAACCTTTTTCATACCAATTCTGTCAACTATTGCTGCTAGAGAGAGCTATGTGATGAAAGTTATAGATTTCCACTTCCACAATAAAAACAAGAAAGAAAACTCAAAAACAGATCCAACTAATCAATGGAAACAAATCAAAAGAAACAAATTGCTGTGCTATATGATAAAGTTCATTTATTTTCACCTGCAGAAAATTGCTCCCGTGTATATGAACATAAGCATCTAATGACAGTCTTCTCCAGACTGTTCAGTGAGTGCAGTTTACCTACCATAATGTAGAAACAGATGTTTCCCCTGTAAAGTGTAACTCCTATAGCTGATCAAAGGTGACCTTCCTTAAGGATAACGGGCATCAGGACCACCATGTTCTTGTGATCACAAAGTCATCTCATAAAAGCAGGAAGAAAAGAAAGCGGAGGAAGGTGCCAGAATGGATTTTTTGGGAGCAATTAGTGTGAGCAGAAGAAGACAGGGGATATAATTCATCACTTACCACTTGCCAAGTGATGCACTTTAATTTGCATTTAAATCTGTCTACAAATGGAGAGAATCTTCTTCTTTTAAGGATTATTTGTAATGCACCACAGTAGGGACAGAGAATGGTTTTAAGTGGTTGTGTAGTTTTCTGGTTTAGTCTTTTTACTGCCTGTTTGTTAGTCTGTAACTTATATTACAGAGTTTATTACGGTTATTAATGTGGATTATACTGCAGACGACTAATCTGCCTGGCATAATCCAGAGACGTTCAGGCAATCCTTCCTCTGATGAATGAAAGCCTTTTGAATGTGGATGTTACTCAGTCTCCAAGTATTGAAATTAGTTTAAACTTTTTTTTTTGTGGGGGAAAAAACTGTTACCACTTTTGACTTTTGACTAACATTGACAGGTGTGAAAGTGCTGTATCAAGTACTTGCAGACCCAAGCAGCATTAGTCTTCTTCATTTGCTGCGTATGATTTTAAATAAACAAACTCGCAATCCACGATTTCTGGCTTTGTAATCAGAGGAAATCCAACATAAATTATAAAAGTGCATTTATTTATATCTTTATATCCCGTAAACCAACGTGTTGGTTTTCCAGCACTTAAAATGGGACACTAATAATGTTTCATTTCTTGAAAAGGCTCCTTATTGTCCCAGAACAGTCGGCCACTATAGTTTTTAACCAACGGTACCAAAACAGGAGTAAACTATACATTTGTTGGAGACTATTGTTGGTGCTATAGTGAGATTTGCAGCAGCAGGATAGAGAACTGGATGTGTGATTGACTCAAAATAAACTACTGGGTGTATTTCTTGGCAAAAGCTGTACAAAAGCTTTTAGAATCCTTTACATATGCCAAGTGAAATGCCACCAGTAATGGCAGCTTGTTTACTTCTACTTACTCCCATGCATTAGTACATAGAGTCATTGAGAAGCCACAGAAAGTTTTTTCTACTCCTCCCTCCTCCTGCCTGGCTCTGCTGAATCAGTCACATGCAGGTGTGTTCACAGCCACAGGGAGAATCATTCTGGATATCCAGGGTTTATAATTGGAACTTTCACAGTAGGGGTGTGTGTGTGTGTGTGTGTGTGTGTGTGTGTGTGTGTGTGTGTGTGTGTGTGTGTGTGTGTGTGTGTGTGTGTGTGTGTGTGTGTGTGTGTGTGTGTGTGTGTGTGTGTGTGTGTGTGTGTGTGTGTGTGTGTGTGTGTGTCATTTGCTATCAATCGAAATACACTCTGCCGCCTGAGTTGCTTTTTCTGCCTGTATCAAGAATGTGTTATTATTAAACAGCTGCATTGATCGGAGCTTCAGTCATAAACATCATTGCCACTGGTTGTTGATTAATTACCCAGAATGAAGCGAAGCGACGGCGACTCTGTTGTGACGCAGAGATTGATCACAAAAAATGAAGTGCTTGTGACTCAGGACAGGGTCCATCTACTCTAATATAGAAGCATAATGAGGGAGAGGAGGGGAGCACGGAGGAGCAGAATAATGAGAAGAAGAGAGAGAAAGGAAAGGAAAGACGTCAGTGGCAACTTGATGACAGCAGGAGATGCAGAAGCACAGTTTAGTGACTCAACTTTTTTTTAACCGCATAAAGCTGCATACATGTGCATTCACAGTTTTCTTGTTGGTCCCTAAAATGGACAGCAACAACACCACAAGTAACTAAATATTGATCGGTACTCCCTGAACCATTACAATCATAAAGAAATTCCTAGGAAGATTAATACAGTATATTGGCAATCTCTAATTGGTTCCTCTGTAATCAACAGTGAGGTTTTGAATGAGCCTCACAGGGTCATAAAACGTAATCAGCGTGTAATTAGAGTCAGAATTCCATTCATTTGCCAGGTACAACAGGTGCAAATAATCTCACTCGATGAACTGGTGCTGCAGTGCTGGAACAAACTACCTGACTGACAAAGCAGGCAAAGATATGATCTGGATTTCACGTAGAAAAAAAGGAAACGTGTCGACAACACCGTGCCACAAATAGAGCATGTGTCACTGTTTGTTTTATTCCACGTGTTTTTATTTACAATTTCAATTCACACAAATCCACTTCACGTTCAAATACTTCTTCTTCTAGTGGTGCCTCCACTCCACCATAAAACATTGAGTGACTTTGTCAGTTGTATTTAACTGCAGCAACCCACAGACTGCGCATCACCGTGGCAACTAATAGGCAGCAGACTTTCACAGCAGACATTTTGACTTGTTATAATAATAGGAAAAGCACAGATGTTACTAATAACATTAACAATGGCTCTGTTCTGCTCAGGTGTCACACACCCTATATTTGGGCAGTTCCCGTTTTTTTCCCTTTCTTTTCATTCTTGTTTAAGAACGATTCAACATTTGGAAAAAAAACATACCTCGCACATTTACTGAACATAGTTTGGAAACAGATGTCTGTTACTGTACACAAAAACATTTTAAATACAATTTAAAACAGGTATATGATATGATAATATGTTTTTTTTATAACGTCAAAATTCCATTTCTCTTTAAGTGACAGAAGAAAAATAACTGTGTGTTTGCGTTTCATAGCCATGTGTGCTCTCAAGCTGTGTCAAATCCAAGTGAAACTTAGATAAACCGAGCTGAGCTTACAATAAATTGAGCTGCAGTGTTGTCAAACACTGTAAAAACTCCATAAGAAGATGATTATTGTCTCTTTTTTGTGCCTTTTTGTAATGCAAACAGCTGGAACAAACAGCTTGTAATCTGTCTTAAAATCTGTCTCTCATCCCTGAGGCTTCAACACAGCCTGACGGCACAAGTAAGTGTTTATAAGAAGTGTTTGCTGTGGCAGCAGTGTGTGTTCTCACTGCAGTGTTCCTTGTTAGGAACTGATTACATTTGTAAATACAGTTTAGATTATGTGTCTCTATGCATTTGCAATCAAACGTCCCTAGTACATATTACTACAAATTGTGTCAGTGTAGAATCTAATAAAGGTAGAGGAGTGTATGGAGTGTATGTTCTCAGCTGCCTCAGATGTGTTGTAGAGGTGCTGCTGTGCATTAGCGATGACAGATGTGGTGTTGGGTCACCTCAGGTTGTTGGAAAACACCCAAGAAACTGAAACATATGAGATTCTGAATGTCTTTAATTCCCAGCTTGCATTGGCCGCTGCTCCGAGAGAACATTGAAATGATTGTGAGGCTTGGTTGGCTGAACAGAGTTAAATGGGAATAAAACAAAGAGACAGAAAGTGACATTTGGTGACTTTTTTAAAATGCTAAACACTACATCAAACCTAAATGCCAGACAAAGTCATTTACAAGACCAGTGACTCTGTGCTGTTTTGTAAACGGGGAGTGGTGAGCCTGTCCTCTGTAACTAATTTGTTACGCAGTTATGGTGACAGATAAAGTTAATATAGTCAGTGTAATGCAGTAAGATGACCAAACTACCTGACATTATTTTCTTTTAGATCCAGAGCATTTCTTTACATGTGGGGAAAGAGGACTGTTTTGTTATCACAGTGTCTACACTGTTGGTCACTTGTAATATGAGCGGCTGAAATAAAAACCTTGCACTTCTGTTGCAGCATAAACTATGATGGCTGATCAGGTCTTTGTTGAGTAAAGTTATCCATGTTTGCATACAGAACAGTATGTGCACAATATTTCATGCTTCATAGCAGTGCAATAAAGCCAAGCGAGGCAGACGTACAGATCAAGTATGTAGGAAAAGTGCAGTTTGAGGTTGAAATGGTGTTTTAGTTTCATTCAGAGGGTCTCTGGCACACCTCAGACAGTTGACCTCGAGGTTAAAGCTACAATACATCAGCTCATTATAGGAGACATTAGGTACGGTCCAAGGTGGTGTTTAGTATGGACATCATTATAGTCCTTCTGCCGCTGCCTCCAGGCTTCGCCCTTTGATACAGTGTGAAATTACATGTGAAAGCCTTGTCAATTACATATTAAACAGTTCTGGTCTTGAACCTGTCAGTGAGCAAAGAATACTTTAATGTTTATGTAATTATTTCTGTTCTCTGCCCAACCAGAGAAAGTCACAACTTTCAAACCTACTGCCTGATTATCTCGCTGTGATCCATTAAACATCTCACACACCTCCACCACCTTCATCTGTTACGTTACCTCTCTCTGACCTTTGACCTATGAACCTGTGCATGTGACAGTCTCTACCTGGTCCACCCTTGCCGCCTTGCTCAGTCCCCCCCGCCACGCCTCTGTGTGCCCTCCCCTCCCCGCAGGTGGGTGACCAGATCTTGGAGGTGAACGGCCGCAGCTTTCTGAGCATCCCGCACGACGAAGCCGTCAGGGTCCTGAAGTCGTCACGGCACCTGATGATGACGGTGAAAGACGTGGGCCGCCTTCCACACGCCAGGACTGTGGTGGGTGAGACCAAGTGGATCGCCAGCTCGCAGATCGCAGAGAGCTCCGCCAACAGCAGCGTGGCAGGGTGAGTTTTTATTAAGCCCACTTCCTCTGGTCCAAGTCTACTCATAAAATAGCCTAACAGAGTACGGTACTGTCAATATTATCGTTTTTGTGAAATAAGTAAATCTAGATTTCCACTTATTAATGACAGCTTTTATAGTTGATTTACTAAGATTTATAATGATGACATTTTGAGACCTCAAAACATCAACTGAAAAATGCTATTAATTATTTATTATTGAGCAAATAACTCTTTTGAACTCTATAAGGAGTTAACAAACAAATAAAAGTGAAAATGGATTTTGTTTTTCAAAATGCTCTCATGTAGGGGATAAAAAGAAAAAATAATAAATCAGATGGAGCTGAACACAACTCAAGCCAGATGAGCTCGAACAAATATTTTTTAGGAAAGAATGCTGATTTGCTTGCTTGTCAAGAATTAGATGAGTAGATTGAGACCATTCTCATGTCTGTACAATATAAAGCGTTGAGAGATGTGTAGCTTAGCATAAAGCATAAAGACATCTAGCCAGGCTCAGTGCATTTGTAACAACTCAAGCTCACTACTTAACTCATTATTATCTAACTCATTTGTTTAAGTGTAAGGGTAAAGTTTAAAAACAACACGTTGCAGTTTTACAAGGGGTTATGTGCTGGAATATTTCTTTACTTCCTGGAATCTCAGCTGGTTGTCTGGCATCCCCATGGTGATGACAAGACTTCCTGTCTTGGTGCTAAGCTTGGCTAACCACCTCATGCCTGTAGCTTCTTTAAGCATACAGACATGAGAGTGGCATCGATCGTTGGCTTTCAGAATGAGCAAATAAGCATGTTTCCTATGTCAAACTCTTCCTTTAAGTCAGGTCTGGTCGGGCACAGTTCAGTTTGGGCTGAGAATCATAGCTAAAGAAGGAAAGTAGGCCTAAGTTAAGAGTAGAGGAGTGCTTTGTTATACTGTACACTGTAAAGGTTCCTGAATGAATAACAATGAAGAGTTTTTTTTAACTAAGGCTAATGCATCAAGTGCATAAAGGCAGGTTATTAACCTCTAAATGTAAATTCTATTTATCTTTAAATAATTTATTCAGCTGTCTGTTGGTCTTTTCATCATTAATCATTTTCATTAGAACAGTCTGATATTTACTAAGCCTGCAGAGACATTCAAAGGTTATGGGAGTCACCAACAAGTAAAGAACTATCATCATTGTATTATAACTTACTGGCACAAGAGACCGAGTATCTGTGGGCTACATTGATTTAATTGGGTTTGTTTAACCACCGAAAAATCTCTTGTCTTTTCACCCACTTTAGCCAAATTGAAACTATGCTAGATTCAGTGATGAAAACTGGCACAAGAAACAAGCTTGAGACTTGAGAGCGGTGCAGGAGGGAAAACTCTTCACAGAGATCATGAAGAGAACATTAAGAAAAAAAACATCCTCTCCTTCTTAGACTAAAGTAGATGCCACAGTCTTTAACCGCCTAATGTGATCAGACGTCCGTCTCTCAGATGGAAGTACTCTCATTTGCTCCTTTTTTTTGAGAAGAAAAGAAAAGCAATATGCACCCCTGCTGGAAAAATGCCAGAGCTCTTCTCAAAATGCCACACCTGAGCAACTCATCTGCAGCTTGTGACCTGGAATAAATGTGATCCCCAACAGCAAAATTAAAGTCTGATGTAAATGCCAGACTCATTTTCTCATCAACACAATAAGGCACAACCCTTCAGACTGACAACTCAGGACGTGTAATTCCTCTCTGATTCTCCAAAGCCAACAGGGATATAAAAAGTATTTAACACTTGTTACTCAACACTGAATTTCTGGTCGGATCCGCGCTGTTCTGTTATTATAGAGTTTGTTTCACTCTGGTGTCCCTGTGCAAGAGCACTAAGACATGGCTGTTTAATTTGAGACTCCTAATATATTTACATTTATATCATGAATAATTTTAAATAATTTCCACGCAGTAATGAATTTTAATTTCAAACTTTTAATAATCTAAAAAGGTGAAATTGGAATATGCACCATGCTGCAGGTAAAACAGTTTAAATGTTTTTGTTGCATACATAAACTTAAATGAATACCATCAATAGATTTCCATTATTCCATGTATTTATTTCACATTTTGAATCTTTTTAAGTAAGAAAAAAGTTGCAATCTTTGGTTGTATTCTAGCTCGAAATAATGTTTTACTACAGAATTAGTTTTTTTCCGTCGGTGTCATTACCACATTGCATATTTTAAATCAGTGAGATTACAGTGCTGCACAGTGTTTCATTTAGTATGTCCTTCTTCAAGACTGCCAATTATCTGGCAGTATGAAAAAAAAAGCAGCCAGGGAGGAGACACTGGAAAAATCAGAATGAAGAGAGAATAAACGGCTGAGTTGGTCCCCAAAGTTAACAGGGCTAATTGAATTTGAATCCCAAAACAGGTCTCCAAGCTGAGTTTAATGTGCCATTGCAGGTGGGACTGCAGTATTTTCTGACTCTGGTTTAATTATATATTTTTTCATTATTTCGGGCCCACGAACACCGCGCTCTGAGTTGTCATGTTTACTCATGGATTTAAAGCCTATTACTTCGTGGGCACTTGAGTATGTAAAGACATCTACTCGAGTCATTTCACTCGGGAATGAATATGGAGCTGGAAAAAATGACACGTTTCTAAACACTTGCTTTTATGTTTTCAGGGAGAGAGTATTGCTGTGTGTTTGTGATATGCATTTTGATGTCTGTGCTTTAAATTTAATGAAAAGGCTGACTGGAAGACATGCCCACCTCATGTTTCCTGTAAAAAATGCCTCTCTGTGTAGCGGTTTTTGACACATCTCTAAAGAACATGAAAGCCATGACGGAGATTTAAAAATCTGTGCTACTGTGCATTTATCAGCCTGTGATAAATGAGAAATATATTCAGAAAGATAAAAAGCTGTCAGTCATGATATTTCAAATCCTCTTTTCCATTCTAGCTTCAAACCGTACATGTATGTGTGTGTGTGTGTGTGTGTGTGTGTGTGTGTGTGTTTGAGAGCGAGAGGACAGTATTTCAGTGAGGTAAAAATAAGCTGTTCACACACACATCAGCACATCAGTTTGCCTGTAACTAGTTTTTACATTGCAGTGCATGCAAGTCTAAAGGTACCTTCAATCTGACAAAAGTCCCCCTTCCTCGTCATTGTATTTTAATCACTGCACCTGTCGCATTATTTAGTGCATCATGATTTTTTTTATATGCAGTCAGATGGTTGGATATGTACGGCAAGCTGCAGCATAAAGATCAAATCTGTTTGAAAGTCGGACTTGAGCGCTTCATGAATATAATCCATGGCAATGTGTATGCATGTGTGGACAAGTGAATTTGTGTGTGTGTGTGTGTGCGTGCGTGCGTTCGCGTACATGTGAAGACTCAACTGTCCCTCAGTGATTAATTTGTCCTGTTTGTCTTTTTCTCTGCAGCTTCTCTGTGGACAAAGGAGCCTCTGCAGCAGGAAAGGTGAGATTCAAAACAAGTCATTTCCTCTTGGTGTGTGTATGCATGCACACTAAATACAGGACTATCTGTGTGTTTGTGTGTTGAGCGTTTCTCTTGGGACATGGTTATCTGTCTGCTAACTCCACCGCTGGCCTGGAAAATGGCATGGAAGAGTGACAATGGGTCAGTGGTGTCACTGATTACTCTTTAGTCAGTCTGTTGTCATTGATGGGAATGGACAAGCTGTACCCGTAAAGTCTCACCTTTTACCTCAGACACACACTTTAATGTCTTGAGGAAGAAAACGTCACTTATTGTTACAAGAACATGAGCGCTGTTTTTCTTCCTTTTATTAACGTGTAAGCCCAAATCCCAATCAATCAACCCAAACACGAGGAATTCATAACAATGACAACAATTTGACATTAACTGGTTATTTACATACATTTACATTTCTTTTGTTACTTGTGTCATACAGTATGATAACAAGTGGACAGCGAACAAAAGACGTGAAGACATGGAGGACAAAGAAGCTGTTGCAGCACTGAAATTATTAGTCAGTTAATTGGTTAGTGGATCAACAGAAAAACAGTTTTGATATTTGATTAATGTTTTAGGTCATCTATCCAGAAAAAGGTTAGTTGAAGTTTTTCAAATGCAAGGATAGGCTGTTTTTCTTTGTTTTGAATTGTTATAAATTCATGTCACACTGGACTGAGATCCTTTGATGAATGAGTAATTAATTGAAAAATAATTGAAAAATGAATGAATTATGAAAATCAGCTTTAACTATGATGTTTAGAAATTGACTAAGCAGACCTCTTTTGTGTTTAACATATAGATAGGTACCCAGTGTGTTACTACCCTATACCATGCTGCCCTTAACTGACTCACCATAGTGTACTTCTACTGTCTTCTCTTTTGACTTTGACTCTGACTTTGTAAAGGGAGAGAGAGTGTGTTGGAATGGAGAAATAAGAGGAGAGAGAAGAGAGGAAAGTTGGAAGAGACAGCAGCTGACTGCAGAGAAAGAAAGGGGGCGAGAGAGAGGGGAGGAAGGTGTGTGGGAGAGCTCACTTTTCATTATGGAGGCTCTGATGGACAGTCTTCTCCTGACAGGGGGAGGATATATACTGTAGCAACGCCGGAAGAGAGAACACAGAGAGAGAGAAACGATGGCTGTGGGAGGTATTCTGAGAGGAGGAGGAACACATTTCCTTCAGACTTGTGTCCAAAGAGGGTTTAAAAGTAATTTATAGACTTTGTTTTGACCTGTTGCCATACAACACAGCGACAGGGTGCACGGCAGTGGCTGTGATTACCTGCCCTTTTTGTCAACGGTGCCCTTTTCAGACAGAAAAAGACGGATTGTATAAGGGGCAGGGCTAACTGATAACTGAGATAAATGGGACTAAACAATCTGCGGGACATTTAATAGATTGCAGTATTTCCTCTATATGCAGGCTGCCAAATTCATCTACTCACAAACCAACAAATCTTCATATGCCTAAACAATAAAATAGATTGTGCCTCCAAACTCTGTTGTTAAGGTCCAAAACTTACGAGGAACTCCACTTCTCTTCCTAATTTTTTCTTTGTGATAAGCAGGAATATTTTGCTCGAGTTACCAATCATCATGAGCATTTTCAAATTTTGCTGTCACATCTTCATCTTCAACCAGCGCTGCATCCGCACCAGTTCACATACACTTGTGTCTTTCCATTGACTTTGTGTATACCAGGCCACCACGGACACTAAAAATGTTGCGGCATAACCATATAGCTCTTCTTTCCATCTTTGTGAATGAGCAAATTTAAGTACAGGTCGTTTAGAGCATTTGAACCGTTCATCTGCACCAAACACTCTATTAACATTTAAACGACTCTGATACTATGACACTATGTTAGTGGGGTCAGTCAAAGCATTGCAGCTACAACAGCATATGAATAATCTGATTGGTGGATTTCACGCCTGTAATACCAGCAGCAATGCAGACTCTGTGTGGTGGTCATGTGTGAAAAAGCATTTCTGCTCTACAGCAGCCTCCACTAAGTCAGCCTGGAAAATTTATGGCCACTTGGTTGCTTTCATCCTCTCCAAGAATTTACAGGACACTTCCTACCCAGTCTCTTATCCAGTGTGTTGCAGAGAAATAACTCCTTCTGATGAAAAACTGGCAGAACTGTGAGAGCTGCTGCACTGCAACTGCTGAGGAGGGATTGGTGACTGGACTGGATGACGAAGGGGTCAGAAATACTGGTTTACTATATTTTCACCCTTGAAAGGTTGTCCTTGTACAAAGCTCAGCAACGACTTCCCTTTCCCCATCATGCGTGGGACCTGTACTATTTTTGTGGAAATGGTTTTTAGATGATTTGTTTGGCATTTCTGGTTTATTCCACAGTTCACTGTAAAATCAAAGGTCCCAGGTTCAGTCAGAGCCTTTGGTGTTGCAGTTATTTGACTGGTGTGTTTTGTCCTTGCGTCATTTCCAAACACAAATGCAATGGGAGCTAAGAATTTGATACAAAAATCTGTGTGAACAATTTTCAGCAGCAGTGCCATAGTTGCAAACAGAGCATAACATTTCTGATTTGTGATAATGCAAAATAACTCAATCCGTCCTTCTATTAGTCCATTGTTGAAAAAAATACATGCATACTGATGCGCTTTGAGCCTAACGTGATTTCCCAGATGAGGTAATGTAGGGGGTCAATAACATTTATAAGACATGGTGCAATCCAATCCAGTTTAAAAGCAAACCCTCGCATAAAAGTCTCATCAGGTGTGAGACGTTACACTGGCAGTTCATTTAGAAATCCCTGACTGAGGGGAGAGCAGAAAATAAGCCAATTCTGAGATTCAAAGGAAATCATTATCAGCTTCATTTTTGTTAGATTTTCTCCTCTTTTCAATTGTAGCTGTCAAAGAAACGTCGTGACAATACAAATGGTTACCTAATTAATTTTGTTCTACTATCCGGCTCTTATTTTTCTTATTTACAGCAGAGCAGGGCGGCAGGCACAGATAATAAAACAGAGAGGTGTTCAGTCTGTATTGCAAAGACAATTCATCTGAACAATACATGTTGTGCCCCTGGACTTCACAATAGCAGCAATTCAGCATTTTCCCTTTTAAAGAAATATTTATAGTCAGGCCAGAAAGGTTATGATGCCCTGAAGCAGTCTTTAAAATATTGGTTTGAGGATGGCTTTGTCTGCCATGTAATCAGCTCAGAGTCCAGTACCAGAGACAGCATTGTTTTGGTTTGTTGACTGAAACAGTTGTGGGATTAAAGTATTTTCAAACACTGACAGAAACTGTGAGCTCACTGTAAAGCTCTGTAAAGCCGAAGGGTGCTGCAGATTCAGCGCTTTTCACCACTCAAGTGCAAGCATCAAACATCAAAAGCATTTACAATACTGTAACTATAAAAGACACAAAGGTAATTATAAAAACGTTCATTATAAAATAAAGCGGCTGTATCCTCGGTTTGGTTGGGGGAATCTCTGAGCTCTTACTGCCACATAATAATATGCACTATGACAGTAAGTGGTCTGTCAGTATCGCCTACACATACGACTTTTAAAGTCGTCAGATTGCTGACTGATCACATTACACGACTGTCTGAGGTATCTTGGAAGTTGTTGTCCTTTTTTACATTACAGTGATTGTCGACAGGGTGTCACTCATTACAATTATCTCACTAGTAGTAATCCCTGACAAGTCTGTCTGGTCTCCAAATTACAATTAGTCAACAAAACATGTGAGAAGTGATACAGAAAAAGAAGACCTAGCTAGCTAGTGATCCAAGTTGTTTGTGTGCTGATTTGCGGTGAGCAACCCAACCAGTTTTCCATTTATTGGGTTGAAGCACACCGAGGAGCCTTTATCATAGCCATGCTCGCCCCCGTATCTTGCTCTCTCATTGGCTTTAGGTTGTCGCTGCTGTCTTTCCAGGTCAATATAAATTTCACACAGCAGGATTTGGACTGATCGACTGGTCCAGATATTTAACCTGCTAGATATCTCTCGGGCTCTGCAACACATCTCTCGGATTGCATCTTTTGAATTATTTTTGGAGTGAATGCCAATTTGTTTCTGATCCTGGGTTTTTGTCTGCAATCTCCAAGAACTGCCGGCGAGTGTAAAATCTAGGTTGAAATGTAAATTCGCCATACAGTAACTGTCAGCACTAGCGCTAGCACAGTGGTGTCTAGTCCTCTCTCCATGTGTAGCAGTGTCATTATCTTTAAACCAGCAGTTTCACCTTCTCCACTGTCCTCTACAATCCCTCTACAGTACATGTACGCCTCATGGTCATTGAAGTGATTTTGATGCTGACTGTTATTACAAGGTGTCAACACTATGATATTGTTAGTATTGTATCATGCTGTTTGAACCATGCTGTGTATCCAATTCAAACCCCCATCCTATAGACTGACCTTCATGAAATACATCTTGTTTGATGTGTTCTTTTGATCTCTAAAATGAAAAAATCTCAAGCAGTATCAGGGAATCATTGTGTGTGTGTGTGTGTGTGTGTGTGTGTGTGAGAGAGAGAAAGAGAAATAAATGTGTGTTTGCATGCATTTCCCTGTGCTTGGGTGTGAGTACTTATATGCTTTTTACCTATGTATGAGTTGAAAATATCTATTTCTGGGTTGTATTTTCATTATCAAGGCCTTTCTGCTCATCATCCTCTGCATTTATAGCCTCTATTTCCCTAATCAGCTTCTTACTCTGAGCATTGGGCTCCAACATGGACACACTGACAAATGTAAACCCGTACTGCTTCTTTCACCAGAGATTTATCATTAGAGATTTTATTTATTTATTTTACTGTACCTTGTACCCCAGTGTTGGGAAAAGATAGTTTTCAAACACCAGAAGCAGAGTAGCTGAGTTAGTTACTAAAATTAATTAACTTAAGACTGTTATAATTAAATGCAATCTGGCCAAAAATAATTGGAAACATACAGTTACAGTTACATTACAGTTTGAGTTTGTCCCTTTCCTTT